TTTTATTTTAGGCTCGTGAAGCAGTTGATATGCGGGCTAAAGTGGAAAAACAAATAGCTAAGAAACAAAAAGAAGAAAAAGAAGAACGATTACGTGAATTAGCTCTCCATGCTCGAACAGATCGAGCAGGCATTCGTCCTGCTGGTAAATTATTTATTTATCTATTTGAAATAAATGACTTTTTTCTTTCGATTAGATAAGAGTGATGATCAAAGTGCTGAACGTGATCAAATTCGACAAGAAAGACAAAAAGATCGACAACGTGCTGCTGCTCTTCAACGAGCTGGAGGCAATAAACGGTAAAAAAACAAATAATCTAAAGTAAAATGTTATTCTTTTTTTTTCCTGTTTTTATTTTAGAAATCATCCAAAAGAACATGATATCAGTGAACAAATTGCATTGGGTGTACAAACTGCATGTAGTACAGGTGTTCAACATGATCAACGTCTATTTAATATGTCGGCGGCAAGAATTTCTTTTTCATTTTCTTTCAATCATTAAACTGTTTTTTTTTCTATTTGTAGGGTTTTTGTAGTAGTTTGGGTGATGATGAAGCTTATAATATATATGATCAACCTTGGAATTTCTCAACTACTGTTGCTTCTCAAATTTATAAACTAACAATAACAACAAAAGATAATTTTGACGATACTGAAGCCTTAATTAATGCTTCTAAACGGTTCGTTCTTTTTCCTTTAATTGTTGAAAGAGCTGCCATCTTTTTTTTTATTTTAGATTCGAACAAGAACATGGTTTCAAAGGAGCTGATCGAGCAGCACCACGTGAGGGCCCTGTGCAATTTCAACTTGACGAAGATCCATTTGGTTTAAGTGATTTCTTAAAAGATGTACAACATGGTAGTGCTGGTAGTTCAGCTCCATCAGCTAATGGATCTTCTGGTTCATCGTCTAAACGTAGTCATGCAGATGATGGAGAAGAGCGAATTAGTGAAACACGTCGCAAGAAATAAAATAACTGTACTCTTTTTTTTTTCGTAAGTTGTGTCTCGTTATTTCCTGATGTTTTGTTGTTGTTCTTTACCTCTCTATTACTCTTCAAATTGTTTACGATAGTGCACAGAAGAAAAAAATTCCTTATATGATTTATGCCATTATTATTGGCATTTGTTGTCTTTGTCCCGTTTGTCTACACAACGTTTTTTGATAGAAATGAAAGTAAAACTTGCGTATATGCTTATGATCATCTGATATAGTTTCGTTTTTATTTGATAAGTCGGAAAACCTGATACATATTCAATTTAAGTATTGAAACAACATCTGAGAATGGTTGACCATCGAAGTAATGTCAAATAGAGTCAGTTTAAATGAGAAGTATCTCATGTCAATAACATACATGCATTAAATTTTTGAAACAGAATAAATCTTTCAGCGATAAACAGATGGGTTTTGATTGATATAGACCTTGAGTCGAACGACAAAAATAATGAACCACTTATTACGTAAAATTTTTATAACAAACAATATTTACATGAAGAAACAAAATGATATGTGTGTCTAAAAGTAATGGAAAGAAAAAAGAACAGTAAGAATTTTTGGCATGCGTGGATATTAAATTGAATTAGAAAAGAGATTCAATGGTTCGGTTGACTGCGATATCTAAACAAAATTTTCACGCAATAGTTGACCAAAGTCTCCAATCTAGATCTAAAAAAGTGCACTTTTCAATAGTTTTTTTCTATCCTTATCGATCTATAGGATGTACTTTTCCTCCGACCTAATAATCTATTCAGTACTCGGCATGTTGTTTAACGTCAGTGCGGTTATACTTGAGGGTGTGGGTATGCGGGTGTGGGTATGAGTGTGAGTATAGGTGTGGGTGAGTGTGAGTGTGACGGGTGTGGGAGTGGAGGGAGTGGGTGTGGAGTGTGAGATGTATGGTGTTCTCCTATCCACACCCCACACCCACACCCACGCACACATACACTCACATCCTTCTTTATGCTACAACAATGATCATTAAACATGCGTTTTCATTTTGTTTTTGGTATAAGAAATGAACAGAAAGTGGAAAATGATATTGCACGAAGGTGAATTTTGAAGAAATTTTTTAGAGGTATTTGATTTTTGATATCTCATGCTTGGTATATTTATTTCAGAAAAATAAGTTTGATAAAAAACTTGTAGTTCAAATTGTCTTCTTTCGAACAACGATTAATTGGATTGGTTTAGAAATTCGCAATATGGTCGAACAGAGTTTGGCATTTGTGCACATACTTCTGCACCGCATGTTAATTCTGAGAATTAGACATTGACAAGAAACTTAATTTAACAAAATGTTACAATAGTTGTTATTTCCTTCTTTTAAATGTCAATCAAATTAGAGTCTCCAGAAAAAAAAACATTATCAGTATTTGTTGAGAACAGTTTCTGTTAAATTTCTTCTTATATAAATAATTCATCAATAGAAATGATAATTATTAATTCATCAATAAAAATTTAAGCTTTCATAAACAAATGCTGTTGTATTGTTCACCAATAATATAATTGCAGACAACTGCTTATGAAGTAATTATCTTCGTGATTCTAAAAATCTTAATAGCAAAAATATTCTTCCTCGATCTAACACTTCAGTGTAACTATTTACTAATAAAATTATAAGGTTTCAAATAGAATATATGCAACTGTTTAGAAATATAAACGAATAGAAGCAATTTATGATACTTTCGTTTCTGTATGTTTGTTAATAATATTTTCTTTTGACATACGCATATGCTTTATTTAATTATATTTTTTGTTGATACATTTTAAATCAATATAAATCTAAATATTTTTTGTTGATATAGTAAATATTAACCTCAACGAAACTATGCAATAATATTTGTTACTTATAACGGTACTAATATTTTTTTTATTTCTAGTAATGAAACATTGAGTCAAACAGTGCATGACCGAGTCTTACTTTTGTTTTTGAAATTCAGAATTTAGTGACAACAATAGCGTAACGATGTTGATTATATTTATAATAAAAATAGAATTCATGGATAAGAATAAAGCCTGGAAAAATTCTAATACGGTTAATATTAGTGCCTAGTATATTAATTGATTGCTTGAGAAAACAAGAAAACATGCTCGATTGTTATGATTACTATCATAAAAAGGTCTAGGAATACGTGCATAAATCATAACTACAATCAATAATTTTGATATAACCTATAGAAAAATTCATAAGAGATTCATTTGAACAAGCATAGACGAATGGTTTAAGCTCATGAAATAATGAAATATAATTGGGATTTTAAGGAATCTATCAATATTAATTCAATTTCAACAAAACAATTGATCACAATGGACTACAATTCTCGATATATGTAAAGTTTTTATAAATACTGCTTACAACGTAGACTTGAAGTGTTTTCAGTCAAGTATTGTTGAAAGTTTTCTATGTCATTACATATAGAACGAAAGTTTGGACATGTCACCTTTCTTTTTTCTCATCATTCATCATGTTTAAGGACATATGTTATAAATGTCAAGAAGAATAAAAAAATGTTATATTATAATAAGTACTTTCGTGTTGGTAAAAAGTATGTTGAACATTCAGAAAAGAACCTAAGGACTTATATTTTGATTCGATTACGTGCATCTTCACTTGTTTCTTTCACTTTATACATTTTTTTTTTATACATATTTCAAACTGCAAATTGTGAAATGAAGGATTTAGCAACTATGTAAACAAATCAAAAAGATTTCAAACAAAATATTTTTTGAAAAGAAATCATTAGTTTAATCATTAAGTATAAATAAATGAATTGAAAATGTTCCATCTCATCTTTATAAATAAATCAAAATTTAATCAATAAATACAAACATAATCGACATATGTTAATTATCTGATTGTCTAATATACATCATCAGATAATAGGATAATACTCAGAATAATTTTAAAAGCTTAGTGATAGTTTGAGAAAATCAGTGAGGGGTTGACGGCTTTTGAGATGGAGGTAGCAATTATTACAAAAGAATGATTTCGGAAGCCCATTCAAGATAATATAACTTTTTTTTCTCGTTTCTGTTGAAGAAAAATGAAAAAAAAACAAATTCGCAATGATGTTGCAACTTTCACTTTGCTACTTCCGAAAATCGTTTTTGTGAAAGCTATTATATATATATCGATAGCGAAGCAATCAAAATATGTTTGTTTGAACATATCAATTAATACATCTCACTATCGTTTTGTGATACTTTATTAGCAAATAAGAAAAAATTTTCATATTAAACAGCCTATTCTCCAAAAAGAAGCAAACAGTTATATAAAAAAAACTTTATTTTTCTTTTTTTAAAAGTGAAATAAATGGCCAAAAAAAACATATACGTTCTTTTTTTTCTGTTTGACATTATTTGAAATTGGATATTGTTTGTTTATGCTTTTAATGTGGTTAGGGACTTACAACAAGCACGACAACATGCTACACAACAACCAACTACAGTTAGAATATAAGTTACAATTATTATCCAAAAAGCGAAATTATATAAAGTTGAATGACAATAATTAAGTGATTTTTCGTTATCAAAATCAACTATATTTCGAGCTCCAAATACCCAAACATTGCCCTATGCAAAAAGAACCAAACAAACATAATAATTAATTTAGAAATAGACTAAATAAAATTTTCACTTACTGCAATAAACCAAGCAAATAAAAATATGATCATAAGAAAAATAATAACAATTATAATACCAATTATACATGTACTAAGACATGATCCAGCAATTGAGTCTTGTTTAACACAACATATAAATGAAGCAATCTATATTTAATTAATAATAAAATATCATAAGGAACTATAAAGAAAACTGATGATTTAAAATAATATCTTACAATCATTATTGTCAAAGCAATCAATATTATACCACATGCACCTGTTACAATTAAATATCTTGGAATATAAATATTCACTGAACATTGATCTTGATAAGCTATACCAATAGCTAATTCAAGTATAGGAACAATGAGAAGAATACATAAGACAATCAAAAAATAATTTGAACCAAGTATTATAGATAAAAAAGGTGGAAGAAAATTTATTCGTCTTTCACTAGCAATGCTTAAACGAGGTAACTTGCTATGATTATTGTATCCATCAAAAAAATTTGAAAATGGTGGACCACCAACACTAGGTCGTTGAATAGAAGTAAATGATCGTGGAATTTCGATCGGTACTTGTTGCTGTTGCGTTGATGATTTTGGTATTGGATATTGTGCCATAACTACTCGCCTTGAAGGTCATGAACAGTAAGAAAAGAAAAGGAAAACAAAGGTAATTTTGATCGCGACAAAGTGTATAGAAAAAGAACGGATGAAAAAAATCAACTTGCTGTTTTATTTTCTTTCCTATTTATTGTTGCTCTCGTCTCTTTTACGTTTCTAAATTTAAATATATACTGAGAAAAAAGAATTTGCTTTCGTTCGTTTCCCCACAAGAATATTTTTGTCTGTGTTCACCTTTACTCTATTTCAAACAAAAAAACAAAAACAAGAGTAGTCTTACTTCAGCTTGTCTTAAAGATGCCAAAAAAATAATGATTATTTCGTTGTTTCACAAAAAAAATCAAAAAAAAAATATCTTCTACGCACATGTAAAAGAATTCTTTTCCGTCAGTCGACTAGCATTTGTCAAACACTTACCTAGTGTCAAGAACATTTTAAATGCAAGAAATGAAGCGAAAAAAAAAGGATACATGAATAAAATTTATTCAAATTTAAAGTGTTTGCTAGTTATTGGTCATACAAAGTGTAGGCGAATATTGTTTGAACATGCAATCAAATCATTTCATGACCATTAATCATCTAAAGTTTTTTTTTCTAGTCAACAATGATTCTTCTTCTTGTCTGATTTTGCGTCATCTTTTCATTATTTGCTCATCTTCTATATGCAAGCAAATAATACCACGCACTATATCTTTAAAATGCAAAAAAAAAAAGAATTGAAATATAAAAAAAAACTTCATACTTCTTTCTTTGTGTCAAATTATTTCATAAAAGGACACTATTAAAATGATGATTGAGTAATCATGTCTCCTAGTCGTCGTACACCTACACCATATGCTACTAGCAGTTCTACATCATCATCATCGAATAATTCATATAGACCTCGGATTAGAAGATCGTCATCTGTTACTTTACGTCAATTAGCTGTACACGATCTTGATGAACCTCATTCAAGAATTTGGAATCAATCATCATCAAGGCAAGAAGAAGTATTTCGAATTTCAAGACCAACCCTTAATATACCACGTTCATCAATATATTTACCTAATGATAATTTAATATGGACACCTAGTGTGAGACCTATACATGTCGAAGATCTTTCTTCATCACCTAATTCAACTTCAAGAATACATCTTTTTGATCAACCATTCTCTCAAATTGCACAACCACCAATTCCATCTCCGCCATCAATTCAATATCAAATTGTACCTATTCCTTCTGCTCAACCTTCACCAATTTATACTCTTCGTCATATAAAACGAAAAAAAAAATTTAAACAAGAAAGAACTCCAGGTCTATGTACAACTTTATGTAGTGGTGGTTTTGGGACATTTGCTGCGCTTATTTATTTAAGTTGTTGTCTTGCTTTACCAGTAACAAAACTTGCATTGGGTATTCGATATATAAAAGATTGTCCCGTTGATAATAAAATTCCATTGTATATGATTGTATCTGGTGCTTGTGGTATAGGTATTATACTTTTTCTTCTTCTTTCATCAACTTGTACATTTTATCGATCATCAATTGTTGCAAGAAAATCAACTCATAAATTTATGATATGTACTATTGGATTTGCACGTGGTATGCAAGGTATTATAGCTATATTTCTTATTATTTGGTTTTTCGTTGGAAATTTTTGGGTATTTGGTGCTCGATATCGTCTTCAAACTAATAATCCAAACGATAATAATTATTGTCATCCAGTTCTTTATTGGTTTGGATTTTATGTACTTATTTTTACTTATGTATTTGCTGTTATTTTGTGTTTCTTAAGATTTTGTGCAAATTTTTTTTGTTGTCGTGCACATGATATATGGAAGAGAGCTTTTACATAAATGATATCGATATTTGATCTCAGTCGAAAATAAGACAAGAATATAAGCTCCAATTGACTGTCCATTTTATGATTGTATATATATACGTACGTATACCATACGAATAGGACAGATAAGACGACAACAACAACGATGAAAAGTTGGTTAATTGCTTTTTTTTTGTTCGTTCGCAATATAAAAAGAGAAGAAGAAAGAGAAATATGCAGTTCACTTGTCACAAAAATACGACTATAACGATAGCATATAATACATATTGAACAGAAGAAAGCGAGAACAAGATGAAATGAGGTCGACATACATTCATTTTTTTTCTGTGTACAGTAGATATGAGTAAAGAGACGATCAACGTTTAACGAAGCACTTGACTGATACAAAACAGCCTTCTTTTTTTCTCTTACTTATACGTAGACAGTGCCGTTAGGCTTCTATTTCCAAATTACAAAACGAACCATGGTCTCGCTCTCTCTGTCTAATTCATTATTCTATGTATGCCATATAGACAGACTCAAAAGAGCAATTCTGTTCTTTTATTTCTTCACCATCAACAACACCGAACAATAATAATACATAGTCTGTCAGTACTATAAGCTTCTCTCTCTCTCATTCTCATCTTATATGTGATGGAATAGGATTACTCTATGCATGATGATTTATTGTGGCATAAGATGGCCAACGAGGTAAGTACTGTTACGGACAGAAGAAAGAAAAAGAAGAGATATGCACGTCGAACACATCCTATTTATATATATATATATACATATATCATAGGGATATGAGTATAGATGAAAGCTAGTGCAGGAACAAGGCCTTTTTTTTCGATAATAGAACAGAAGAAGAAGAAGAATACTACCCTCGCGCAAACGTCTTCTTCTTTTTTCTTTGTCTTATTCATTTCTTTGCATATCTTTTGTTCATAAAACTGTACAATAAGAAGAGCATTGCATATGAACAAACCTAAGATGATACTTAATATTTCTGTCATCGAACAAGCTACTTGTGACAGTATTCAACATCTATTTGAGTTTATTCATACTTTGTTTTCCTTTCATCTCTTTTTTTTTCTTCTCTTTTCCTATATACATATATGCTTTCGTTTGTGATTGTATTACATAAGTAGACTATGCATTGTACTTATGTATATTCTTCACTATATATGGATGGATCGATCTTATTAAATATCCCTTCGGTTTTTTTTTTATAAGTAAAGGGTATATTTGTACGTTATGAATAGGGAATATCGATTAGCTGCAAGAAAGAAATGAAAATGAAAGAAATTTCATGATGGATTTATGAAAGATTTTTTTTTCTTTTATCCCGATAAACATTAGTATATAGTTTACTCTACAAGATATGATCATGATTTATTTGCACATACTTCTTGTAGAGATGTATGTCCTCTTCTTTTTTTCTTCTTCTTCTCCTTCGTTGTCGTCTCCATTTATCCTTCGAGATATTGATAAGAAAACGAACAACAGGTCAATAGGATGGTCGAATGGTCACTCTTTCTTATTGTTTGATAAATCAATAACCTAGCAATTTTTTTTACTAATACATATATGAATACATACATACATTTATATGGATAAATGGTTCGTATCTATTATTTGTGTTCTTTCCATTCGTTTAATGATGAGAAGAAATCAAACCTGTTTTCATTCATATATAATTGTCTTCAGCAGAAAAAAAAATTCAATGTCCTTTTAGTCGTCGTCTTCTGATTATTCAACATTAGTTGAATAATTACATCATGTATATATATATATAGAGAGAGAGAGAGGGAGCAGAAGCAGGTCAGTTATATTATTCCATATACATGAATATAGAGACAGGAGTCGAGTAATCATGAATACTTTGCTTTTTTTATCCATGCTGTTTGAATTCTCTTATATTCTTTCTTTCTCTGTTTTGCATTTATTTGACATGTTCGTTCACTAGTACAGCCAGCAATGCAAGTTATATATCGCTATCAGCATATATCGTCTAGACATTACTCTCGTTTACTGTATATGTCTGTATTATCAAACAGGTACTATAAATTGTGTATGTTTCTTTTTTTAGATTGATTGATGATCTATTTATTGATTAATGGAACAGTATTTGAATTTAGTATTGAAAAATTATACGGCATCATTTTCTCGAAATTTTGATGATGAAAACTTTTCTGGCGAACAAGATGATAGTAAGATTAAAAAAAAGAACTTTTTCGATAAATTATTTTTTTTTTATCGTTTTTTTTTTCAAGTTTCAGATACATTTGCTGTTAGTGAACTTCATTATAAAATTCCATTTTGGATCGGTGTTATTGTAATTAGTCTTCTTTTTCTATCAGCTATTATTGCATCAATACGTTACTGTTTTTATACACTATGTTCATCACACGCCGGTAAGTTCAATATACATTTTACACATTTTTCTTTGTTACGAAGTTACATCATATCTAAGAATAAGAAATAAAATGAATCTCAATACAAACATTTCATCTTATACTTAAAAAAAAAGAAGAAAAGGAAACGGAACAAATTCTATGTTGCCTTGACTTTTTCGTTGTCTTTTTTATTCCTTTAATTCACCTGAACAAATACAGCCTTTCATTTTTCTCATACATACACGTACACAAACTGTTTTTATGTGCATGTGCAATATATATATACATACATACATACATAGATTGGTATGTTTTAATAAAATTCAAAATTGAAATTAGACCGACAATGATAATATGTGACCATTGAAATGGTATTCATGCATGTATATATATATATATATGACCGAGAATACAAACGATTGAACGAATATATACAATGGCATTGAATTACATTTATGAGTAGTTGTTGTGACGAGGCTAAGTGGTAGAGAATAGGCAAAAAAAAGAAGGGAACAAAGCTGTCTGTAGTGTCAATTAATTAGAGTGGACAAGCACACTATAAGGTCTATGACAAGGTGAATAAAAAGAAAAAGATGAAATAAATTTACCGTTTTCACTTTTCAAAGTTTAAACTATACAAAAAAATTCAAGTATTTTTTTTAGAAACAGAAAAAGTAACATTAGTACCACCAAAATCACCTTGTCTAACGAGTACTGCTAATACAATTCAACGACAACGACGTCAATTACCTGTTAATATTTCTCATCATATATCAGATGATAATGAAAAATCATCATCATTTTCCGATGAAACAAAAGATCATCATTCAAATCTATCAATTATACCTATTGTTCGTCAACATTCTCGACCACATTTTATATCTACACAAAATCATCATCCGAATATTGATACAAAAGATATTGATAAACATAATTTTTCTTCGATTCAATCATCACAATCTCGAATACCAGTTGATATTAGAAAAAAAATTCATGGTATTTATGTGTTACCTGTTTCACCTACACTTTCATCATCATCATCAACAACAAATACTGATGAAATAATTAAACATGGTTCGAATACAATACCTATTCGATCACTAAGACATATATCATCATCAATAAATGTTCATAATGATTCAATATGTCGTGGTATTAAAAATAATAGTTTTGCTGATTCACCACAACCGAAAGATCGTACGTTACCACGATCTCATGCAAGTACATTACGACGTATTCAACCACCATCACAACCGCCACCATTACCACCAACTATATCACAATTTCATTTCAATAATGTTCGATCATCGATTGATGTTAATAATGATAAATCATTAGTTCAACATCAGTCAGCTACAATAGATCTCGATCATAATAATATTGTTGCTCTTCGTTATCATAGTCAAAAAATCTATGGTAAATTCGAAGAAAATCATTTGAAAAAACCTTCACCACCACCTGTACCTTGTCGATCACAAAAACCAACGATGTTACCAATCGGTTTTGAAAATTTAACATCAGCACAACCAGATCCAATTGGTTTTCGAGTAGCTATTGAATCATCACCACAAGATGATTATTCTGAACATACATGGCCAAAACCACCTGAATCGATGACAACATCAGAAATTGGTGTACCACCACCGCAAGTTCTTCCATTATCGATACCTTATGATCGTCTTCATCATGATCATTTAATACCTACTGTACTTATGCGTCATAATAGTACAAATAATTTTTTTCAACATCATCGATTTGGTGAACATACTATGTTGACAGAATCAGAAACGTGATGATTGTGTTGAACATCTTTTTTTTTTCGTTTGTTTTATAATTTTTCTTGTTTTCCTTGTTCTTGAAGGCGAATGGCTGTTGTGTCATAACAGTACTGTATAGTTTCTATCTTGTCGTTCTTTTTCTTGTTGTTTTTGTTCGTATTATTTTAGGAAAAACTTCTTTCAAAAACTTTTTCTGTTCATTCTTATTGTTTGATCTTTTTGTTTTAGTTTATTTGAATGAATCGTGACAATAAAGAAGTACTGAATAACAAATGTATTCGATTAAACTTTTGTTTTTGAAAGAAAATTTTGAGTAAACAAAAAAAAAATGTTTAGATGAATTAATTATCAGAAAATGAATGGTAACGAAATAATATTTAAAGCTTAGCAAAAATTTCTAATATTATTTTGCAAGTTCAGTCAGTGTTTTCTGCGCCGAAATTCGGTAATCTGTATTACGGCGAACTGTTATTTCAGTGATATGATCATCATCAACAATGTGTGTTTTCTGGAATCTTTATTTTGATAATCTTTCTTTTCAATAGATTTCATTTCAGCATGGTTTTTGATGATAATGTAGACAAAAACTGCGAGTTTTATTATTTCAACATTTCTTCTATAGGATGTATAACAAAATGTTACTGGAGTATATGATATACTCTACGCAATTGTGAAATCAACACTAAACAGGAACCTTTTGTAAAAGAGTTCAAGCTTTTTTTTCGAGTCTTATGAGTTTATAAATCAATGCTTTGAAACTTAGATTTCGGAGAATGTTGCAAAGAAAAACACGTAAAACATTTATCAATATCAATTACATCTAGTACAATAAACAACAATGGAGTATATTTAAGTGA